TCATATACTTTTAATTGTAGCCTCTTTTATAATTACAAATTGCCTTAAATCTTCTTTGTTAAGTTTTCTAAAATAAAACGCCTTCTGACTTAGTTATAACATAGTAACAAGTGAGGTTACAAAAGTGTTCACTGTCTAAGATTACTCTAGTTACCTACTATCTTAAAAGAAGTAGATATAGAATAACAATGTATAATATTTAATTAAAACATTAATAGTTAAATGATAAATAAAAATCTAAACAATATAACAATAAATTTATTTAAATATTTAGATAGATTTATTTTATATAATTTATTTTATATGAAAAATATTAATATATAGATAAGCACTACTAAAGAAGACAGGGTTCCAAACTTTGAGATAAGTATTACTAAAGAAGATAGGGTTTTAGGCTTTGAATTTTTAAGGCTAAATTTATTTGTTTATAAGTTCCAAAAGCCTGAAGTCTAGATTTCTTTGGTTTTTTTGAATACTACTTGAATGTAGACAAAAGACTATTATTTTGTTTATTGTCTTTGTAAATTTTTATATAAGTCACATGCTATGCTTAATAGTTATATACAAATATTTTGATTTACTAACATAGCTTAGTCTTTTTCAAAGTCTCAGAGGATTTAATTTTTTGGCAAGTTTTGATTCTTTCTAAAGATTTCAACTTTATCAGAAGTTTCATCAAAGTTTTATCATTTTATCAAACTTTTGATGTTTTATTAGAGTTTCACTAGGTTTCATCTTTCACTAAGTTTAGTTTCATCTTTCACTATTTGTTAAAAATAATTTTGTCTGCCAACACTAGTATGAAAAGTGAATAGAATATTTATAACATTAAAAATATAAAAAAATCAATAGTGATAACTCTTCTCTATATATAATTTAATAACAAATAATATTTCTAAATATCAAATCAAATTCTTTATAAATTCGTCTAAAATCAATAAAAGGAAAAAAAAATACAAAAAGTGAATAGAATATCTATAATATACATCCAACTGTTATAAAGAAAGAAAAAACATCTTAGAACCTAAAAAAATAAATATATAAATATGTTAGTAACATATCAGAAACAAGAGCAACAAATATACAAAATAAAAGATTCCAAGGTTCTCAAGATATATATACATCCCACAAGCTCAATAATGTCCAATAAAAAATAATTATTAGTAACATATCCTAAACTAGAAAAAATAACAAATAAACTAAATTATATTTTTTTAAAATTGTCTGAACAATATAAAGCTAAAAACAAGACAATAATACAGAAATATACTTATATAAACTGAAAGCCAATTTTAAATGAAGTCAAGTGAAAGCTGAAAAATAAAAATAGTATTAATAAAACTAAAAAAAAACAAAAACAAGTAATAATACAGAAATATATCTATCCAAACTGAAAGCCAATTTCAAGCAAAGACAAACAAATTTATTAGAACCAAAATTAAGAAAACTAGAAACAATAAAGATAGGAATAATATCCAACAAAACTGAAAAAGCTAAATTCTAAAACAAAAACTCAGTTTCAAAACAAAAATGAAGCAAATTTCACTAGAAAAAAACTCAAAGCATAGTATATGCAAGAAAACCAAAAGTCAAACAACAAATATAACAATTATACTCATTTAAACTAGAAGCTTAAGGCAGACTAAATCCATTGTGAAGAAGGAGAAAAAAGTTAGTACAAAACAACAAGCACAACAAATATACTTATCCAAGTTGCATGAAACTAGCAGAAACAAAACTCAATACATGATGATATTCAATTTAGGATGTTAAACATCTGGTTAGAATCATGATTTATCATATAGGTCTTATGTAGCAACTCATGCTTTTTTCACTTACTTATTTGCACAAGTATATATGAAAATTATGTAATTTTCATATATACCTGTGCAAATATTAGTTTGTTAAAATTACTATAATAAATACATTTCAAAATAGTGTTTTTTAAACTATAATTAGCTGAGCAAAATACAATTTATTTAAATGTATTTTAAATTGTCATTACATATTTTATTAAAAATAAAATAAACTAATTAATAAAGAAAATCTTTAAATTAAGATCAATTGGTTTGCTAGTATTGGAAATTAAATAATAACATTATTCGTAATTTGTTATAATATTTCATATTTGTTATTTGTAATCAGTACTGAAAATTTATCATTTTTTTTTTTACAGTGTTCAGTTGTTTGATTATAATGATCATTTTTGTTTTGTATTATTTGTTTTTTTTTTATTTTCTTGTGTTTGTAGGTTCTGAGTAAATATTTATTGGTTCTGAGATGCAGACATTTGTTAATTTTGAGGTGCAGATATTTGTTGATTTTAGATATAGAAGTTTCTTGGTTTTGAGAACAAAGTTAAACTTTCTTTGTAGGTATTTAAAAGGTGTTAAAAGTTTAAAATTCAAATTTGGAACTATACATTTTCTAAAAGAGAAAATCTTATCTAAGAAGTTAAAAAATCTATTAAAGATAGTTAATACATAATTGATTAAAATAATGTATAAGTACTTGAAACTGGAATAACAACTGGTCTAGAATTAGAATTCAAAGGTTGTTAATTTTGATTTGATGTAGTATTAGCATTAGAACTTGAATTTAATATAGTTTTAGTATTAAAGTTTAAATTTGTCATAGAATTAATATTAGTATTTAGATTTGATATAGAATTAATATTAGAGCTTAGACTTAATATAGCATTAAAATTTAAAATCTCTATTTTATTTTTATTATCTAAAAAAAATAAATGTAATAAATAATTAATTTAAAACATTTTACAACAATACAATAGTACCTTCATTTTTATCTAATTTATAATTAATATAATTATATGAATCACCAGAAAAAGTATAATAAGATTTGAAATCTTCATTATAAGCTGTATAAAGAATTAATAATGCTATAGATGACAAATGTTGATCTTCTGTTAGACTACTGTAAGATTGAATAGCTTCTTGAGAATGGTATCCTGAAAATATCATAACTTCATCTTCTGGAATATCAGAAGCTTTTAATATCATTATAGCTGTACAACAGACATTGTAATTTGTAATTTTTTGGTTACTATCAAAATTTATACCTATATTAATAACTATTTGTTGTAATATTATTTTTAATTTATTCGCACCCATTTTAGAAGATTTATACCAAATTCTTTTGATAATATCTAAAATATATTTTTAGTATATATGCAAAAAAAAAGTTTTTTTAAATTATGCATGTATATATCAGTTTGCTTTCTTGTTGTTTGTAAAAATAATGGATCAGTGTGATACATTGTGATGATCACTTTGACAAATAAAGTAATAAATCTGTAATAGATATAAATTTATTACTTTCAAGATTAGGTGATATTGAAATAGTTTGTGTTCTCATATGTCTATATCATTGTTAGTACAATACTCTTTTTTAATTAGTTTTTTCTTAACTAAGTCTTAATTGTATTCCACTATTATCTCATCTTTCAAGATCCCAAAACTTCAATTTATAAGTATCTTCATCTTGTAATTCACAAAGTAATAATAACTAGAAAAAGACTTGTCGAATTAACTCTTCATTATTTTCAATTGATAGGTAATTATAATTTAGACATGAAATAATTTCTTCTAATGTAAGCAAATTACTTTTGTCTATATCACTATATCCATCATTTTGTAATGATTTCATTTTACCATCTAAACAACATAATGATTTAGAAAAAGAATATTTGTTCCAAATTCAAATACCATCTTCAATCACTGAGTTTTCTTAAAAATATCTTACTAGTACTGAATAACAATTATGTACTGATTCAACTTTAAATGGTTTTCCATCTTTTTTAGAAAACCATCCAATAAAAAAACTAATAAATGTATTAAATTCAACCTTATTATTGAATTCATCCAAGGTCTTTATGATAATTTTTTTTTTCTGTAATGATCAACATGATGTAACCATTTTGAGGTATTTTTTCTGTATTTGTAACATAAGAAAGATTTATAAATCGTTGTGCTTCAGGATCGTCAGTTATTAAAGTTCTATTCAACATTTTCAGAAGAGTTATTTTAAATTACTGTGCAAGGACAAATCATATTTATATTTAACCAGTGATTACATCACTGATCCAACTAAAAGTTTATTTTTGCACTAAATAATTAGTTATACTTTATTATACTTTTAATTAATTCCCCGAGTATGCACGGGTTGCTACGTCAGACCCGTACGATAATATAGTTATTATATGAATAACTATAACTTATTCCACGTTTATATATGATCGCATGACGGGGTTTTTCGACTTATAATCACTGCTTTAATCAGTAAAAGCAACCAATTTTAAAGCAATAGTTGTTATTTCCCCGGAATTGCTTGTTATTTCCCCGTCATTTCATGTTATTTCCCCAGGTTAACTTTAATTTTTTATATTATAAGATTTGAAGATAATTCTTTTTAGTTTACATAATGGTTTATCCTTGACGAAGGTTTTAAAATCCGTTAGCCGTTACAATAGTACTACTTAAATGAAGAGCTTAAAATACTTGATAGAACACGATAGTTATTTAGAGCAAAGAACTTTTGTAATTCTCTTAGTAAGCGTAATAGTATCATTATAATTAAAAACGAAGTTTTTTAAATTCCTTTAATATGATTGTGTTATTAAAGCAAAAATTAGGTTCGCAATTATCTTTCTATAGCCATTTTTTTGGTCGTACTGACTAAAGTTATTCGAGTCGAAAAACGCCGTCATGACGTCATATAAAACGAAGAATAACACCCTTATTTCCCGCTACGGGGGAATAAACCGGTAAATCTCAATCAACCGAGGGCCCTTCGGGCCCCCGGCTGACTGGGGATTTACCTCTTATTCCCGCCGCTGCGGGAAATAAATAGTACTTATTCAATAGCTAGTTTAACTAGCTGGTCTTATTCATTTACAAATTCATCTTATAAAAAATAATAAAACAAAATATACAGATAAGCCTCCAAAAGCATGACTCCTTACCCGATATAGAAATTGATCTTCTATTTTAAATACATAAAATAAGTGTTACACAAAAGGTGATCTAGCAATTTGAACTCAATTAATTGCAATTTGGGTGAATAAAGATTAACTAATATAATTAATTAGTCAATTCTTATTTGCCACATACAATGATTCATCACACCCATATGGCTAATGGCAATTAATTATAATTGCGTAATAATTGGGTTGCAACTAATTTTTCAGTATCTCTAGTGTGAAATACTATTATAGAGTTTTTTTTTATTTTATATAATATTAATGATACGTATAAACTATGATTTAAAGAACATAACAATCTCTTATGTGGGTTAATATGCAACATAGAAGTTTAATACCGAAAAAATTTTAATCGTAGCATAGGTAATTTGATATTACAATCAACTAACGAACAACTATATGAAATATGTGTGGCTCCAGCTTGAGCCATGCTGTTGCACAAATGTAATATTTATTTAAATCAACGATGTATATGGTTACAGTATTAATACTATAGTGATTAATTAACTTTTTTTTGTAAATAGTATTATTTTTCAGAAGCTTTAGCAGTTTAAAGTAGGGACGTTAAGTAGTCTGACTACTTTAGTTTGACAGGGTGGTTACATATAAATTGTACTGTAAAAACTAAAGTAGTCAAACTACTTAACATCCCTAGTTTAAAGTTTGAAATAGTGTAAAATACGTAATTTATACTGTGTAATATAAATCAACGTTCGTTAATCATATAATATCGCATATATAGATGCAGATTAATTTTATAAACCGTTTTTTCATATAGGTGACAATCGCATACTCAGAAAGGATACAAGGAGTCGTGCTTAGAGTCATATTGTCAGTGTTCTTTATGATGCACAACTTATTATATATTAAATAGAAATCAATTTTTTTAAAATATTGTAGATCAATTTCTATATTGGGTAAGACACTCATCAAATATCATATATCGATATTTTTGAAATTAGGAATATACGTGTTTGATGCTTTTCATACTATCTTAATCTGTGAATGATGTAATTAGGGTTCTTAATATACCTGATACCGTATTATACCATTTGTATAATACCAGTATAATATCGGTATTATATACATGGAAATATATGGAATATAGTATATCATCCAAACTTTCTGTGTCGATCATTGTGGCGCAGTAAAAAATTTAAAATTCATTAATATTAGAGTTAGAGTCTAAAATCACTTTAGAACTTTTTGTTAGAGCACTAAAAATGATTTCTTATACCGATTATTGAGGAATAAGCGATTTTTGACAAATTAAATCTGATTTGTGGATCAGACATAACCTGGCACAGAAAGTTTGGGTAATATAGTATAATATCAACAATTAGAAACAGTTTAATAGTGGTTATACTATTTTATACGGTATTATACTTGGTATTTTACTTTGTATTTTACTTGGTATTATACTACTACTTTCTATTATACCAGCGTAATTAGAGCCCTAGATGTAATTTAATGATATAATTATTCGAATTTATATGAATAGATCGCTTATATTTTTTATATTACAGATATATCAAATATCGTATTCTGGCGAATTAGTGTTTTGCATGCTTTTTTTTCTTTATATTTTTTATATTACAAATATATCAAATTTTGTATTCTATTTTTATGCTATCTTAAACGCACGTACGTAATCTGTGACAGGTTAAGCCACTGATTTCAATCACCGCCTTAAATCATGATGAAAAGCTATTGTATTTAGTAATTTGAAAGGCTTATCATTACGAAGTTAAAGTTGAAAATATAATCGTATTTGGTTATTCTTTAATTTTTTTTTTGCGATTTTATAAATGAATTTTTTTTTTATCTAACATGAGTAAAGTGGGCAAATTAAAAGTTTAATAAGACTTACCGTAAAAGAGAACCAAGTTTTTAATAAAGTGCAGGTTATACAAATTTTGATAAAACGAAATTAAGAAAATGGATGAGAACGATATTTCCGGCATCACTTCATTTTTAGTTATTAATATAAACTGCCAAAATATTAGCCCAACATTACTAACCATGTTAGATAAATTCAAAGTTCAGTGTAATGTAATAAAAATAAAATCACCCGAATATTTATCTTTATAATTTTAGTCGCGACTGTTCAATCAAAAGAGCTGCGAAAATATGAGTTCACGAATAAATGATATGGAAGAAAGAAGAATTATGGAAGAAAGAAGAATTCAGCTCTTTGAGTCATCTTCATTCGAAAGAGATAGGGTTAAGTATCTTTTAAGGAAGAATATGTTGAACAATAGCACAGTTAAAGAAATGACATATTGTTTGCTTTGCTTAAAGTAAATTCAGTTTTATTTTTTATATAAATATTTGTTTAGTTAATATCAAAAGCAACTTTTGAATTTATAAGATATTTTTTTAAAGGAATATAATCAGATGGTGATTGAAATTAGTGGCTTAACCTGTCACAGATTATGGATGTGCATCTTAAAATGTGAATGATGTAATAAATCACATTTGAGTTATTAAATATGTTTTTATATTTATATTACAGATATTGAACGTGTTGAATTACTGAATTTGTTTCACTATATTATTTAATTTCTTAAACCGTGGTGATGATTATAATATTTGCAAAAGATCTGAGCGGTTAAGTTTTCATTTAAATTACTATTATATATTTCTTAAACCACTGTGATGATTAATATTGCAAAAGATCTGAGCAGTTAAGTTTCTTAAGCCACTGTGATGATTTTTAATATTTAAGGTATTAAGAAAAGGATCTGAGTGATTAAGTTTTCTAAAAATGCATTTCAAGAAACATAAGAATAATAGTAAAAAACCTTCAATTTCTTATACAGCTAGTGTTAGAAAGAAGAAAAGAGATGAGCAGATAAATAAAAAGTTTTTAATTTATGAATTTAGTGAGCATGTAAAATATCTTGATAGAAGAAAACATACAACTCTTCCAGAAGAATAATGTTTTTTTAATTGTTTAATTAAAAAGTTTGAGTACTGGAAACAAAATATCAAAGATATGTCTGATAATGAGTCTTCAAATTATAAAGACACTTTTATATAATTTCAAACTGAACAAAAAGAGTATGAATAAAAGCTTAGGAGGTATTATTTTTATATTATATATAAATTTATATTTTCATATTATTTGTTATTATTATTATTTATTATTAATAGGTTATGAGAAAAAAACAAATCACTTAGACAAGAAATTCGTATTAATAACATTAAAATTTGTAACTTAGAAAATCAGATTGGTGAGTTGAATCAAAAGATCAAGGATTTAGAATCTGAAATCAAATATATGAAGATAAATAATCCAAAGATAGAAATCAAAGAATTCAAAAATCATGAATTAATTATTGAAGTATATATTTATTTAAAAAAATATTTATATAATATCTCTTTAATAATCTTGTTTTTTGTAGGTTGAAAATTTATAAGAACAAAGAAATTTTTGACTAACCAATTATAAACAACTTTATGAACTATACAATAACCAATCTAAAGCAAAAAATGAAACTAAAAAAAATCTTATTCAAACAATCAAGTTTTGCAAGATGAAAATAAAAGATTGAAATCAATTAAATAATAATTGGTATTATTTAAGAAATAAGAAATTAAGACAAACAGAAGATTACAAAATAAAATATAAAGAAAATAAAACTATAGTTATTATAAATAGTAGTTCTTTATATGTACTTAGTAGTTATGAAATATGTGTCACATTCAACTTTTTTGTGATGAAAACAGAGGTACTGAAAATTTAATTACAATTTAATTTTTATACAATTATGATCAAATAAAATTGTTATAAACAACAATTACATTAAAATTAATTACAATTTTGTAATAATATAAAGTTTTAGACTTTAAAATATTAAATTTTAAAAATAAAAAATTAATTACATTCAAATATAGAAATATAGTAATATTGTACCATTAATATTAAATATAATTTATATTATATATATATAAAAAAACTTTATAGTTTAATTTAGTAAATGTTATAAATTGGCTACATTATATTATTCATTCATAACAACAGTAGATTTTTCAAAGTATATGAATTAAGAGATTTTCTTCAGTCCATATAGTAATATTTAATAAGTAAAAACAAATATTCTATAATATTAGATATAAGAAGAATAATGTTTATGTTTATGTATTTTGATTCTTTTAATTTGCATTTTTTTTCCACATGTTCTTTCATACTTATTAGATTATTATCTACTAATAGTTATTCTACAATAAATTTCTGAAGTCTTTATCTTTCATTGAATGTTAATATAGATTCATATTTATACAAGACTTTAATTATAGCCTTCTTAAAAATAGGATCATAAATAATCTGTACATTTTTTTCTAATCAGTTTTTCAGAATTAGACATTTCTCTATTAGCAAGTTGAAATAAGTACAAATATCATCTAAATTCATAGATTTAGTTTGTAAATTGTTAGTTATTTTGGAAAAATATTTAAGATACTTAATAAAATGATCAACTTTGTTGAAATCCAATTGTTCTATTAATAAAATATCATGACCTATATGTAATAGTATAATATAAATAAAATATACTAACTGGTATTCCTTTAAATAAAATAAAAAAAATAATCTAAAAACCTGTTGGTCTGAATAACATAAAAGACAAGTTCTTTAAATCATTTAACCATTTTCATAACACTTATCCAATAGGTTATATTATGTAAAATAGGTGTTAAAGACATTATTTTTGCAAATTTCTCACAGTCTTATAAGTGCACATCATATATACAATTTTATAAATCTGGTTCACAAGGGTAGATAAAGAATCAATAAGATCATTAAAGCTAAATTAAAATGATGTGATACATATCTAACCAGCAAAAGATTCAAATTACTAACTATTTTTTGGTTGATACTATAATTGTTTTCTGAAAGAAAAAAAATATTTTTAACATTTTATTATATAATTCTAGAACATTCTCAAAAACCTAATATACACATCTGCATTTTAGGTAATATGATTTTCAAATAACAAAAATACCAACATGACTAAATTTCTAGATTTATAAACAGTTTGATATATTCCAAACAATCTAACAAAGTAAATGCTATTACTTGTCTATCCATCAAACATGATTCCAATTTTCTTTGACAAAATGTTTTTTACTCTTTCTTATATAACATCTGCTAAGTCACTAATATACTTACTAATCATCAAAACATCCAATTTCAAGAGACTAGTATGTACAATGAAGTCAGAATTCTCACATGCATTAAGAGGTAATTGACATTTTATGATAAGACTAACCCAATTAAAAATATTGAGTACACTTGCACTGTAGATAAATGTAGCAGAGTTTGCTGTAGAGTATTATTTTCAATTTGCTGTTAGTAAAATAACTTAAATTGTTCATATCTTGCTACTAAATAGTTCATTAAATTTGTATAACCCGATCCTTTTTTTTGGGTTATCAGCTGTGACCTGGGAGAGCACAAATTACAATGGTACTTGCCATCATCTGCAAGTTTAAAAAAGGCCTCTATGTAACACTTGTTTGAAACTTTTGCACTCATTGAAACTAATTTAATAATAAAGATTTAGAATACTATTTCGATATATGTGTCTTTGAAAAGAAATGTAAATTATGCAGGTTATTAAAAATAGAGATCGATAGCTTTGATTTTTTATTCAATTACGTATGTAATTTTTTTTTTAAACTACAAATTTTTGACGTCAAATCAGTAAATATATGGTTTATTACACATTTTGTATACATTTTGCGAAATCCGGCAAAAATTGCAATTAATTGATTAATTGCGGCTGCGCCACCAATTAATTGATTGAGATCAAATAATTGCAATCAATTGCCTTAACAATTAAATTTTCGGTACACCTGACCCAAAGTATTAGAATTTAAAATAAATCATATAATAATTGCTGAATTGGCGTATACATCATATTTTGTGAAAGCATATACATAGTAGATTGATCTATATATTGTATAAATTGTATTCTTGATATATATATACGTATATAATAATAACTGTATCAAAAAAGTATCTCTCACTTTAACTGGCCTTAGGGATTCTCCATTTAGAACAAATTTTTTAATCAACTAAATTAATGCAATCTAATCATGTGATTCCGGGTTTATTGGATTGACTTGTGGCACCAAATTGGAATTTGGCACGCCCCAGGTAACATGCAAAAAATTTTTTTTTTTACCACTAAGTAGCATTGATAACGTTAAACTCCATAAATATAATTGATTGATTCTTTTATAATTTCTTTATTTTTTTTATTTTGATGCAGCCACCTTGAACATTTTAGTTTCACAAGTGTTGCCACGGGTTGTTATATTTCTGGTCCGTTGAGAGTTTATATGACATAGATGTTCTCTCTTCCATTTTCTAGCCTTTTGATAATCAGATTTTAACTCCTTGATATCATTAAAAATCGAGCAATTAATAATATTCTTCAGCCAGAACGCCTTTCCTATTTGAATTTGATCAGCGTTTAGAATTCAACTTTATTTTAATATGCAGAAATTTCAATAATGGATTTAAAAAAAATTTTAAAATCAAAAAATAATTCAAAAAAAAATAGCATGCATTGTGTGATACATAATCAAATCCAGGTATGCAGCTCAGCTAACACTTTGAATGACAGCTGACCTAATAGGTTTTTGACAAGTTTCCACAAAAAAAAAACTTTTTACTTACCATTCTGTATTATCTAAATGTTCCTACGTCTTCTCAGATTCATTTCTTTGTCCTTTTATAACGATGGATTCGAGTTGTTAAAGGTACAGATGTATTTTCTGTCAAATGTTTTTTTTTTACATTCTTTTAAGAAATCTATAGTATACATTTTTGAGGATTGCATTTGAAATAATTTGGTGGGTTGTATGTGTTCAAATGGTTTTTCTCTGCATTTCTTTAAGAAACATATAATAATTCATTTTTTGGGATGCATTCAATTTTCAAAATACTATCTAAAGTAATATTATGAGATTTTGTACAAGGCCAATGATTTTCTGCGGTTATAAATTATCGATTCCGTTCATGATATAATTAAAGTTCCATGATTAAAATTTATGAATTATATAAAATCCATGTATTATAGATTATGAATTCTGCGTTATTCTTGCTATCTTTGACGCATTCTGGGTTTATAATCTAATTCCGTGATTTCTGTGGCATTCCGTGAAATGCAGAAAATCATCGGCCCTGGTTTTGGAATTATGCTATTTGATATACTTTTATGTGTCATGATAATTGATATTTTTTTATAATTAGAGTAATAAAATTTAATTTTTATTACAAAAATAATCTCAATGAGGTGACTCTAACAAGATCAAAATCTATGTATTTTAAATCAAATAACCTGATCCGTATGTGTACAAGCATACCCAACGGATCAGGATATTTTTATTTTACATATTTCCCTTTATCTTTAATGCCCTAACCCCGAATTTCTAATTTTCGCGAATTTAGTTCATTTTTAAGTTTCTTTTTTTGGGACGCACAAAACCTCATTATTTTTGTTTAATATCAATAAGGTTTGTGCAATTACTCGGACCAACAGATATGACTCCTATCTAAGAATCATTCGAAATATTTCCTTCTAGATTTATCCTTTTTCTCACATAATATTCTTTGGGTACAAATCAAGTTAGCTACCAAGTTTTTTTGATTTGTACCCCAGATATTATATGCAGTGCTCTATGTTAAGTATTTACACTATCGTATGACCATGTTGTTACTACTTTACCATTTTTGATCATATTCGTATAGATTATTAAAAAATTTCTGGACTTATATTATCTTAAAAAAGCGCAATGATAGTAACAATGCTGAACGATAATACTGTTATAATGTGGAGGCAAAAAAATTGATGACAAATAAAATATCTGTAATATGTATTTGGGCCACTATCGCAGCCCAACCCATTTTAGGTAATTGGTTTGTTTTTCTTATTGTGTTATTCATTAACCTACTAACTTTTACACAATTGTTACAAATATTATTATCAAATTTCTACTTTAAATATATTATTGGTTTCATCTATCACAATA